GCTGGGCAGCTGCCCAAGTGTCGACCCAGTGAATTTAGACCGGCCATGTCTTCATCTTTTTACGAATACCCTCTCCCCCTGGTCTATTTGCAGGGCTGTCATAGCATCAACCCCTACAAAGGCACCAAACTAAAGTTTTTCTTGGTACAGTAGACAAACTAAGACAGGAAAACATGTCATCTACCAAGGTCATCCCCAGCTATCTTGTCTTGTATCTTCCTCTCTTTCCCTCCAGGTGTCTGAATTTTTGCCTCTATGCCATCCTTCTGCCTCCTCAGACTTGAGATGAATCAGAATAAAAAGTCAGAGAGACAGGCAGTCTGTGGCTGATGTGGAGACAAGACTGCTTGTCTTGGTAGTGTTGTGGCTCTGGCTCCAAAACAACAGGATTTATGTCCCCATTTCTATCTCATCACATCTCCTGACTGTCCAGCTCATCACACACAAGATGGTAAAGAATGCGAACTGGCTAGCTAACCTTGGCAGTGACTCTAGGGACCATGGCCAAGGGAGGCTCTTAGGAAGAGGAGAGAGTCGGAGACAGAAAGAAATACAGCCGTAAGCCCTTGACTCGTCCCCTGGGCCAAACAACAATCTCCTGCTTTCAGATGCCATCCCTGAACTCATCAGGCAACACAGGTTTGCTAAAGTGAAGCGGATTAACGTCTACGTAGAGATATACAGCGGGGAGAAAACATTGTGAACGAGTAGTGTGCTAAATAAGTTGCAAAGACTTATTTTAAATCAGCCTTGTTGTTTGTTTAGAATTAGTGATTTGTTATTTGTGTGACGGTGATAAAGGAGAGTGATTTTCTGGCTGAGCAAATGAGTAACACTGTAACTGACGGAATCAAAACTCATTATACACCTTTTTTGGGATACAACTCCAACAATAGCTAAAAGACACACATAGCTCACCAGTTAGATGAAGATTTTTAATCTGGTTAAAGATTGCATAGCTGGCTTTGCGTTGCCTGTTTACACATCCAGCAGAGATGAATGAACATCATAGTTTATTTGAAGTCACATTTCTGTCCATCTGATGAATGGAAATTCAATAGTCACTATACTTTCTTGGTTTCCACAAACTCCTGAAGAAAAATATCTCTTTAGCTGCTACATGTTCCATATTCTTCCCACTAGTCATTAACTTTGTCTGTCTGCTATTTGGTGCTGGGCAGGTAAAGCAGAGCGGGTTCCAAGCTTTGTGGCGCAACAGAGTCGGGTGATAACTCTCTTTGGGTTCATCACTAAGACACTTCACATTACACGCAGGCATTTGATTGGACGTTAAAGGTACAATGTGTAATGCTCCAAACAAATAGGGGGCAGCATTTCAGATCCTTCCACCCTGGCAGGGGAGGACCACCTGTGTTTTCTTGCCAGATCCACTCATGGCTGTACCTTCACCAGCTCGCTCTGTCTGAAAGCTGCAGATGGTTAACATGAGAGCCAAAAGAAGCAGGTAGCGCTTTGCTTTGCTTCCGCCTCCTGTGTGTCCTCAGACAGTTACGATTTCACAACATTCATTAGATCAGAACCGTTTCTTCTTCACATTCTGCAGATGAGGTTAGTTCATCTTCTGAATGTTTTAACCTAAAATTCTGGCCCTATCTTATACACATTGTACCTTCAGTGCAGTTCAGTTCAAGGTGAGAGGAATGGATTAGATGTGATTTCTGTGTCCAGACAGCAGCTTATTCAAAGGTGACATTTCATCTGTCAAATGTGCCAGACGCTTAAATTCACTGAGTTGTTTTCAGACTTGGCTGGTAGTGTATAACATGGCTGCAAATATTTAAAAATGTTGCAATGCTTTAAGATTTAAACAAGGAACTATAATTAATAAAATTAGTGAAGAAATGAATGCATGCAAAATGTTCAGTCATTTAACCATTAAAGACATATATATTATTCACCGTGTTGGGGTTTGAAGGACAGGGTTATACTGATTCACTTATTGATTATATTCAGTATTTAGGCTGGAAGTGCTTTTAGAATCAATCAACAGCTCAATAGTTTGACTACAACTTCCCTAAGTGAAAAAGGGTTGCATAACAAGTTAGAAATTGATCTGTAAATGTTTTCTTTAAATTTGGTAAAATTTTTCACACTATGTAGACAGCATAACATATTCTGCGTGTTCCAACATATGACTAAAGGTATTTGATGCTCAGATTGACTGAAATGTTCCAAACCTAAGATGCTATGAGATCAGGCTATGAGATCAGGCAGAAATATACTGTGGATGACGAGTGGGTTTGTACAATGCTTGACGATGTACTCAGAGTTTAAAAGGTTAAAATGATTGCAGTTCAAAAGCCTGTATTAACATTTAGACTAAGCCGAGAAGGCATAAAAATAACTGAACTCAAGCATTAATGATCTTCTGTGGAAATTTTATCTCACACGGGGCCACTCTGGGTGCCTGCCCTTTCTGCCTAATAACAGGCAGCTGTAGCATTATAACTGGTAGTAGTCATAGTTATACATACCATAGTCATTAGGGATGGCTTAGTAGCAGAACGAGTAGCAGGGCAATTATGAAATAAGAATTTGCTGACAATGACACAAAGGTGAATAAATAACTATATTTAGAAAGATGTAGGCAGCCTACTTTTCATCCATCTTTGGTTTTACTTCCTCTTAGTCTCAATACCAACACAACTACAAACATAAAACTCTCCAATTGTTCATTTACAGTAAGAACAACCAATAACCTTCACTCCACAGATGAGAGACAACTTATGGAGAAATGTGGAGAAAAATTGATTGGAAAAAAACATGGATGGTTAATTCTGTCATTAGTATTCTATCTGACGCAGTTTGAGATAACGTTCAATATGAGGAGCGGAGCTGTTCTGCTGCAGCCTTGTGAAATAATTTAGTCTGAAGAGCCGATTTAGAGAAACTACTAAAACAAAATTAGGCCAAAGACTTTAACACTTCGTCACGTGTCACATCAACAGAGAACGGTGTATTAATGGGGGTTATGCTCCTTCCTCAGAGACAGTTTGCCATGACAGAATTACATTACACCACAATATATAACAGAATACAATGAGAAGACAATAAAATAAAACTATGAAAATGTATCAATCTAAAAGATGGTGTCACCTTAGGGCCTGGAGCATAAAGTCAAAGTCAACCAGAGGATCTGCACTGGGTGGCAGTTAGGTAGTTAGTTTAGAGATACAGTCATAACTAAGGCAAGACAACAATAAAAGGTAGTTCCATCTTAATGGTTACCATGCACATTAGTATTCTGGCATGAGCTGCTGCATATTCCTCCTGGTCACAAGCTCGCCCTTCTAACCTTTAGGCCACAACTGCATTACTGTGTTGCAAAATGACCTGCAATTAATGAAAACATGATGCTGTGTGGCAAAAAAAAAAATATCTGTTTTACCATTAGTGAGTACAATTCTTAAATTTATGACCCTGGGCCATGTGCAACTATTTAGTTTCTAATTAGAGTTATTATTATAATTTACATTATAACTAGGCTATGTTTCAACTTACACACAGCTGGTGCAACAGGCTGCTGTATGATTGGAGATAAATGTATCTATAATATACCTGTAAAGCCTAAAATGTATTCTCAACCACACAGGTAACCAGTGACTAAAGGCAAAATCAGGGGCAACATGTTCTCATCTTTTGGCATTAGTTAAAAGCCTATGTGTGTATGTATTTTGGATTTCCTGAAGGCAGGAGCTTGCCTTATGGCAGAGCCCTGCTTAATGTGAATTACAAAAGTCCACACAAGAGGAGATAAAAGCATGGGCGACTTTGAAGGTTATAAAGCACTTAATTTGAGCTATAATCCATGGCTGTTGGAGGGGACAAACTGGTGACCTTTCAAACTACAGACATACAATCACTATTCTTAAAAAGCAGCTTATAGATATCCGGTACTGTCTGGTGTTGTTATTTTTTATTTTTGATAACTGTATTATCAATGTAAGTGCAAGCCAATGCTGCATGCGTAGATGGAAATCAAGAGGGCAGCATGATAACATTGCCAGAAGAATAAATACAATGCAGAGATAAAAAGGTAAGAACAACAGCCATATGCTTCAAAAACTAGATGTAATGTCCAGTTAAGATGCTTTGATAGGTATTAGTTTCTAAAAACAAACTAACATGAAGTCAATCATTAAATAAGGAGTAAAAGCACTGACCATGAGTGCAATTTTCCAGATGCTTTAAACAGACTTGAACCTTGTTGAGAACTATGAATTCCAGTGATATGAGTATATACAGCATGGGCAAATAGGTGTGAATGAGAGCAATTACAAAATCGATCATAAAAGCATGCCATGAAATAGAGAGGGGGGGGGGGGGGGGAACAGCCAAGTTAGCAGTTAGCAGAAAGACAAGAAAACATTGAGATGAATGTTCAGCACCATGGACAGCTCATAAAACCAATGACCTCACAAGGTGTCCTCCTAAATCAATCTTCACTGTTCGAAAATCAGACATGCTCTTTTATCACCCTATTTGCTAATAGGCTTTCTTTACACTTGGTGGCACTAACAATAGCGCGCAGGGCTGAAATGGGCCCAGGCTGTCGACACAAAAGCACACACGAACACACACAAACCCACACACGCACTCCTCTGTGGCTACCAGCTGCTTTGAAGGTGTCTAGTTACGTGCACGCTTCCTACAAGGAGTATTCATTGCGCGCGTTTACACTGCACTGCCGTGGCAACACATTGCTTGCTGATATAACAAATAGCCACAGCTGCTTCCAGCCAAAAAAGTTAATTCCCCTCAACAAATCGGAGCTTGTTGGCGTCAAGAGGTAAATTTTAGACACCGAGGCCAAACATGTAATTCATATGAGGCATGAGCTTATTACAGACAGGAGCTCGGTTAGAGGACGAGGCCAGTGCAAGTAGTTCTCCTGACTGCATAGCTGAGGGCTACTAATTTATACGCTGTTTTGAAAGGATGACTTGGTGAAGATAAACAAAAGGAAAAACTTAGCCTACCTTCACTGCTTCAGCATGAGTGACTTTGTCGAAGACTTTGTCGTTGACTTTCATGATCTGGTCACCGATCCGGAGACCCTCTTTCTCCGCCAGGCTCCCCGGTTCCACCAGGGACACGTAGATGCCGACCCCGTGCTCCGAGCCGCCGCGGATGCTGAAGCCCAAGCCCTCGTTGCTCTTATGCCGCTTCATGGTGACCTGCCGCAGCTCGCCCGGCGGCTCGTGGACAAAGTTCCTCCCGAGCAGCGGCACCAGGGGAGCTGTCCCGTCGCTGCTGGTGCTGAAGCTGTCCGGCGAGCCCCGCAACGCCACCTGAAACTCGGGCGGGTTGTTTGGCGAGAAATGCCCCGGAGGAGTCGGGCTGGCGCTGGGGAAGTCGCCCGGCGTGGGGTCGGTGCTGCCGTTGCTTGCAGCCAAATCCGACTTTAAGTAGAGGCCCTCTGAGGTGTACTGCTCGAAGAGAAGCTGATCGGAGCGGGGGATGACCAGCCGCAGCATGGGCAGAAGTTGCCGCTTGCTGGGCGCGTTGAGGATGACGTTGAGGGTCTGCACCAGGTCGTACACGTTGCGTTTGGAGTGGTAGACGTTGAGGCAGTGGATGAACTGCTCCCTCTCGAAGTCGTTGAGCAGGAGGTTGAGCGCGTTGTGCAGCTTCCTCACGTTGGCCGAGAGCGTCCGCGCGCTGGAGGCCACCGAGTTGGCCGAGGAGCTGAGCGACATCCGCTCCAGGTCGGTGCTGCTCATCCTGGCAGTGTGTCCGGGACGCGGCGCCACACTGGTGCGGGTTAGAGAGCAAGCATAACGGGCAGGTGGCACGGGATTAGACTGGCCCTTGGCATCACGACCGCTGGAGGACGTGCACTCCGGTTATATCCATGCTGTCTGTTTGGTTGTGACAGATGATCCACTTACTACTCGCAATTTGCTGGATAGAGCGATCAAAGGGGCAACTTCCACGGCCAATTAAGTCCAACTAATTCAATTTCACAGTTGACACATATTAATTAGCACTTACCATCATTTAGGTGGATTTCAGCAATTGGATTCTGCAAACTTCACGCGTGATAGGGTGCGTCGAGACTGAACACGCAACAGCCCCGCGGAAAAGTCGTCCCGCTCCGCCAGAGAGCTTAGTAATGAGCCACGTAAGGATCTCAGCCTGCGTGTCATTAACTGCGGTCTTATTTTCCAGGAGGTCAGGTGGCTGCCTCAGCGCCGCTTCTCTGGTGTCCGCCTCGCAGCTCCACAAGACGGTATAAAACACCCGAACTTAAAATGACTTGTACTTGGTTCACCGTTGCGCAACCAACTTAGAGAGAAACACTATATCTTCCAACGAAGAAGGAGAAAATAAAAAGTTCTTTTTGTGCTCTTCTCAGGCGTCCCGCTGTGTTCCCGCTCAGGTCCAAACGACGACAAGTTCACAAAAATATCTATCCAGCAGTGTCACACGGAGCAGACGTGTACTCCAGCCATCTGTCTGTTGGTCTTGTTTTTTATATCCGTCCGGTTGCAGTTTGGAGGCAACCTGCTGCTGGCTCTCTCTCCGCTTCTCGGTGGTTACTACAGAGACAGAGCGGAGACTGGCTGCTCTCTCGCCTCTGACCGTCCTCTGGCAGGAAATGACGCAGCGTCGTGCAGCCAATGCGTCGCTTATGACCAGTAGCATGCGCTCGTTTCCCCCATGCTCATGGCACTTCCGCAAACAATAAGTTATGAAACAGGACTTTAAGTAGCCTGCGTTTGGCTGCGCAGCTTGTTGTCGGTTCTCATATCTTTAAAATACGTTTGTTAAAGACCATATATATATATTTTTTTTATTGTTTTTATAATGCTTTTATTTTATTGTCATTTTGTTTTGCTGTCCTGAAGCACTTTGTAGGCTATGAGGTTTTGAAAGGTGCTACAAATATATTATTATTATCATGAGGCTATTTTCTATAAAAGCAAAATATGAATGCAGTTTCAGTTTTATGTTTCTGTGTCTCTTCCACTACTGCTCATCAGTGTAAACAAATTCCTCAAAACTGTTTTGTTTTACAAAAAGTTACAGAGCATATGGATATACAGCTTTCTCCAAAGTAGCCGCTAGAGTGCACACTGTGAAATAAAAAAGAAAGAGAAAATACTTTGACAGTTGACATTTTTGAAGCAGATATTTTAACTTGTCATAGTAGAAACACGTGTTTCTCATAACACTAACATGGCAAAAGGTCAATCGTCCTCCAATGGACAACTGGTTAACAATGAACTCTCTTGTTAATCAGTAAGTAAGTATCACTACAAACACACTTATAATTTGCTTGTAGGGTCATAAAAAAAATACATCTTTCAGAGGAGCTTCACCAACACTGCTAGTAGCCAGTAGGTCACAGTACATGGCAAGTCCTTCTGACGTGGGGCTGCTTGTGTCTCAACAGGTGGCACAGCAACTCAAGTCCAGGTGTCTGACTTGTTGACTGGTTCTGCTTTTAAAAGTCGTTGTGCCCCAAAATTAAATATATAAACAAATCACAACCTACACTATATCACATAAAACAGATAATTCTCTTTAGAACGATTATCAAAGCTCATTTATTTGTGCTTTTTGGGAAGGTTGGTAAATTTGGAATATTTGAAGGCCCATTTGTGTAACAATGAAACAGATCTATGATTTAAAAATATAATAATTCAATCGGATGTAATTATTTTTAACAAGTCAGATCACATTGGAGATTGTGTTGGTGACCCACTGGGACTGGCTAATTAGTAGTTGACAATAGACTGGCACCACTGAGATCTATGATGTTAGTGTATATTACAAAATGACTCCTTCATTTACTTTTTTATGATCAGTTCTAATTTAATGTTGGTTTTGCCATCTTAAATTCTACATCGTAAAAGTGCAGCATTACATACAGTATGTACATACAGTACATATCTCTGGACAGATATTAATCTTTGTCTGCAGGTCGCTGATGGAGTTTAACCAGTTGCTGTAATCCCTGATCTATGAGTCCTCAAGCTGTAGCCAAAAGGAGCAAAGTGGAGGTGAACTCAGTTGCCCCAGCAATCAATCACATTTGCAAAACGGTGATAATATCAACTGCAAATGAGGCCCTTGCTGTGAGGCCTCTGTGTTGACAAATGGCACTGTGCAGTTTTGGCAGAGTTTCCAAGCTGAGCCGTCCTTAAAATCTGCAGCTGCTGAGCCAAATATTCCTTCTGCTTTATTAACAAGCAACTGAAGCATTTGAAAGGCTGACCTCGGCAAAACAGAGGACTGTCTGCTCTCCAAAAAGGAACAATTGTGACACTTTAATTTAAAATTGTGACCAAGAATGTGCCGGGTGATATAATTATGTCAAAGTAATTAGTGAGGTTGAAAATGGACCTATTAGCATGGTAAGTGAACATTGTCTTTGGAAAGGAATCAATAAAATAGAGGAATGCTCTGATTATCAGAGGAGCAAATGAGGTTGAAGCAGAGCTGACTGAAATCACAGATGAAGTCAGCACTCTGCTTCCTGAAAGTGACACAGCACAACTGTCAGCAAAGCAGCAACGCAGGCAACAGAGATAAAAGCAAGAGCATCTGATAGTATATTCATGGTTTCTGAGGCAGAGGTTTATCAGTTAATGATTTTCTTTGCTAAGCATTTCTTTTCAATCTTCCAATTTCAGTTTATGGTAAAATGGTGTGAAATTAGAGACTTGGGCTGCAACTACCATCTACCACCTAATCATGGCAGTAGAATATCATACCCAGAGCCCAATATGATGTCTTCAAATTGTTTGTTTCAGATAATTAAATCTGACATTATATAAAAAGAAGAAAAGCAGGAAATACTCAAATTTGAGAAGCTAGAACCAGAAAATGTGTGGCATTTTTACTTGATAAACAACTGCTCCAGTCAATGGATTATCAAAATACTGTAAGCTATTGGTTGATTCATGTTTTGATAATCTCTTAAGAAAGAGAGCCCTGATCCTGACCCCAACCCCAACCGCATTCCAACACATTTGGAATGAACTGGAATGATGACTGCGAGCCTGGCCTTACCACCCGAAATCAGTGTTTGACCTCACTAATGCTTTAATGTTTCCAAAATCTGGTGGGAAGTCTTTCTGGAAGAGTGAAGGCTGTTATAGCAGTTAGGGGTTCAGGGCCTTTCTCAGGTGCACCTTTGGCAGTGGGCTGTGCTGGACTCAAAACAGCGACCCTCCGGTATCCAGCAGTTCATAGGTCATATTCTTGCTTCACCTCAGGTTCCACTGAGATTTGAACTCAGAGCACTGGATTCAAAGTCCAGAGTGCTAACCATAACACCATGCAACCACTCAAAGGGCTCACTTTCCTGTAGTGGTATTTATAGCCATACAGGCAGTTTTGGTTTTCTTTGTCATGGTTTTGAGACTTTCTCTGAGATTTCTGCCTCCACTCCAATACAATAAACATTAATGGGATTCATGACGGGTCAACAAAACAACAACATCCCTGGATTTACTGGACATGGACTACACCTAATGAGTCACTTTAAGTCGCTTTAGGTGGAAATGCATTAACTAACTAGAAGACAAGCATGTCAGATATCTGTTTATCAGAGAGACACAGTGATAGCACAGAGAGTCACTGGAAAACGTTGACACAGTAAAGATTTGGACAGTTATTTTTTTGTCTGTGTGGCTGAGCAGGAGGTCAAAGACAGACTGTTTACGTGTGCACACTTGTTTGTGTGACTGTGTGCGCTTGAAGTTGATTGATGACAGCAATTAGAGGAGTTCACCAGTGGGAAACATTGAACAGCCAAAGAATATTATAATGGGCAGAGACACGTGTTGCCCAACAAGCAGAGAAGATAAAGATACAGAAAGTTTGCTGTGTGAGAGAGAAAGGGAATAACTGAGAGAGAGGAGGAAAGACATAAAAGAGAGGCAAACAACACAATGATTTCTTCAAGAACACCCGCAGAGCTAATGGTTTTGGCTATTGCCACAGTTTTTAATTTTAACAGCAGAAGCTCATAGCTGAACGTCCAGCACTAAAATCCCAGGGACAGACAGAGACGGATTGTCTCATGGTGGCAGAACAATTAATGTGTTAATGAAGAGATTGTCGCAGTGTGATGACCTACTGCATTATGATAACAGCTCTGTGTGTGAATGTCAGACAGAAAGATATGCAGCCGTGCAGTAAGACTATGGCTACTCCATTTAGTTGATCAGTATGACCAGAGCATTTTGCCCCAGGAAAAGATTTTCCAAAATACAAAAGGCCACCTACTTTCAATTAAATTAAATTAGCACATTTCATGGTTAACTATAATCAGTTTGAAGGCTTAATAAGGCTTAAATACTTCACTTAATAGGCTTAACTGTGTATGACTAAAAGCTTAACAGAGTCATCAGTTTTCATCAAATGGAAGATGAATGGGCTCTAAACAGGTGGGCATTTAAAACAAAGGCTATATAATGTGAAATGGGTTGCTCATAGTGAACCCACAGAGAATAAATTTATCACCCAACTCTGCAGTTTCTCTCAGAGTTCATTGCTTTGATTTTACCGCAACTTTACTGTTTTGGTTCAGTCTCACCCCTATCATCAAAGTGAGTGATTATTGGTTTAGTGCAGAAAAAAAGCCAGCAATTTAAATGGCATTTTCTGTGTCATTATAATGCATCATTTGCTATATTAATATAATTTCATTTTTCATTTTCATGCTTAGGGTGGATGGAAGACCTTGAAGGGCTTGAAAAGTGCCCTGTGGAGTTTTCTTGTAAACAAACAAAAGTCATGTATTTACATTCAGTGTTCCAATTCACTCACCAAAATGTATTGCGTGAATCCTTGAGGTCAAACGTGTGAATGCATTTCCTTCCTCATAAAACATTTGCTAAGCCAATTTTACTTAAAAGTTTGAATCCTGCATTCCTACATCCCTGTTCACTTCCTAGCAGTATTATTTGCTGAATTTGTTGGCGCATTGTTGTGTATCTTGGGGCAATGCTGCCACTTGTAGAGAATTGAAATAGTATGAAACCATTGGCAGGACTGTTTATTGCCTTACGCATGAGACAAAAAGAACTGCTCCGTAGCGCTACTAGAGGTCAAAAACACCAGGAAATAAATCCAGACCCATTCAGAAAGTATTGTATTTCTTTAATATGGATTCACACTCACACAATTACATTTTTTGTTTGTTTGTTTGTTTTTCAAGTTTGTTTTTCAAGCACTGGCCTGGACCCTGCAAGAAACTTGTATATGTACATTTGCAGGCAACAGCAGAAGAGTTTGTAAAAGCAGGTACACTGCAGGGAAGTGGAACTGAGTGTCTGAACATTATCACGCTCAGGCTGGAGTCGCACCTTAATGAGTCATGCAACATTAAGCTTTTCCCACTGATTTACTTTGAAATAAAACTCTGACTGTTCACCTGGAAGGAAGAGTGTTTCATCTGGTTTTAAGTGGACACTCCAGTGCTACAGTGTGACATTTAACAGAACATAAGCATAACTCTGTCACTTAGCACTCAATTTGCATGAAAGGACGCATAGTTTAATGCATGCATGTCATACCCCCTCTCTCTCCCCCTGTATGCTGTCCACCTCTTCACTGTCAGCTGTGTCCAATAAAGTTGAAAATGGAACAAAAATAAATAAATAAGCTGGTGTGATTGAGACATGCCACAGGTTTTGAAACAGAATGCAGCAGGACAGGCTGGTGCTAGAATGCTAACTTCAGTAGATATCTCTGCAACACATAAACATCTTTGACTTAACGCCCAAACGATTACTTCTACCAATTCTGTTGATAATCACTGAGGGCATTTAATTAGCTAAAGCAACTTATTTCTGTTGAGGTCATCGCTCTGTCTCATTTTACAACACCACATTGGTCCACATCTAAAAATAGCCCCACTGTGTTTGTTTGTGATTGAT